CAAGCTTGAATTGAAGAGGTTGGAAGCCAGGAAAATATCAAGGAACATTTCACATAACACTTGGTCACAAATAATAAGTTAATAAATAATGATTCAAACTGAATAATAAATAAAATTGTTGGGGGAGGGGTTATTATTTTTTTTCCCCCAAGAATTCAGAATCCCACCTTTCTGTCAAACTTTCTAATTTCTAAATGTGTTTCCGACCTTTTTTGTTTGGCCTTGTGCTTATGTTGACTTTAATATTTGTTCCCAGGTACTGCTCTGTCACTGCTGGGCAAGCACTCCCACTCTTAGCTCTCCATTTCACTCATTATTTTAGGGGCTTATTGTCTTTACTTGATTCCTAATGAGTCTCTCTTTCCACCTCTCTCTGGTAGTATCTGAACCTTTTGAAGAAAGATAAGAGACTCAGTATGCCTGTTTCTTCTAGTACAACTTTTCCCTTTCACTTTGACCCAGATGCTGTTCTTAGTGAGACTGAAGATTGTAGTGGCTGCACTAATAAGGATCTTACCCACTCCCCCCTGCCGCTCCACCCCCTATCTGAATCCAAAATGTGACAAAAGTGTCTGAAGCAAACAGGTTATTTCATCAGTGGGCTTGCAGCACCACAAGAGGTAGAAACTCTGTGAAAACATCTGTTTCCTGACAGGTTAGGTTCATTATTGAGTAAACTTCCAGGAATTGGTTTTGTGTCCTCAGCAGTAAGAATTCAACATGCTGGAGATCAGGCTGACTGCTAAGTGGAAAAGTTAATGGTTTTTGTGAATGCACAATGCAGCCACCTGTGTACTATTACACTGTGGAAATTAGTCATTTGTCTGGCATAGCTTTTGGTCTGACAAATTCTGGAGGTAGTAATCCTCATTTTTGTGGGTTTTTAAGTCATCTTCCCTTCTCTCTCCACCCACAAACGCCATGCACATGCCTCTTTTAACCATGCTGGTTTTGTAATGTTGGCTGAACTTACTCATATCAACTTGTAGAGATTTATTTTTTTCCCCCTACTTACAAGATGAGTTTCTAAGAAAGGAATTCAATTATCCTTTGTGCTTCCTTGGCTGTGGTTCTATACATTCAGGTTACAGAACTAAAACTGGTATTGGTTTGAATCCTTAAATTTTTGTAATTCTTCATTTCTAGAATGTAGGAACCCAAAATGGTCATGGCAACATTTATTATTCTCCAAACCAGGAAAAAAACAGGCAATTATTAAATTTATTAAATATATTAAATATATTTTAAAATTTATACATTAAATTTATAAATTAAAGCAGTTTGATTTTATATCAGGGTGTAATCCTTTAATTTGAAAGAAACCTCTTTTCAAAAGCCTAGCTGAGTAAGCTACAGCTGAGTAGATATGTTGGTAACCAGTCTGAGGATTAAAATGAAACCTGCTCCTTGAAAATGTGCTGGTAGTTATAGAGAGATCATGACTGCTTTTTTCTGTCTGCAAAATTCTCCTTTTACAGAGAAACTCCTGTTGCTTCTCTCTTCCCTTGGCAGAGACAAAAAGAACATTAAAACAAGTCTTGTTAGAAGAGCTAGGAAATTGAAGGCAACTAGTACCCCTTCAGATCTGCCAGCTGTTGAAATGCATCTCATGCTTTCCTGCTTTTAGGTACTGCCTCCTACCTTTATCTGCCATGAGCAGTGGAATGATTAGTTGTTTAAAGTTGCAACCATGATCATCAGCAGCTGAGGTAACAGGGTGTTTCATGCCACACAGCTGTCATTGCAGCTCTCGTTAAATCAGTGGTGTGGCATAGTTGGTGTCAAACCTGCCTTTTTTCCTATGTCCTTTCTAGTGCTTTTGCTGTTGTGGGATTTTTTTCCCTGCCTCATGTTAAAGGAGGGTGCTGAAACCTCTGCCGTTTGAGAGCCTCAGGGCTAAACCACTCCTCTAGATGTATCACAGTTGAACACTAGCTAGTCTATTGAAAAACAGGCTTCTAGATATTCAGGGAAAAGTTTCTGAATATTCTCAAACCTCACCACCCACACTGGGTATTGTAAATGTCCTCCTCACTTAGGACTATGTTTCTTTTTCTATTTATGTGGTATTGGTTTTTTTGTTTTTTTAAAGGTCAACTTAACCTGAAGCCTGGAAGCAGCTTCATGAGTTCACATTTTGCACTTGCGGAACCCTGTTCCAATGCTTGAAGTGTTGACAGTGACGGTAGAAACTGGGAGAAAGCTGAGCCCCACTGACGCAAGGGGGTAGCCTTGGTAGTCCTCTCCAGTGAAGCAAGGGACAGCTGTTGAACTTGGTCTTGGAGGATTTAGAGCAGAGAGATCCTGTGTGAGCCACTGGAACAGGTTGCCCAGAGAAGGCATGGATGCCCCTTCCCTGGAAGTGTTCAAGGTCAGATTGGATGAGGCTTTGAGCAACCTGATCTAGTGGGAGGTGTCCCTGCCTATCCATGGGAGTTGGAACTTTTCCAACCCCTTTTCCAACCCCAACCATTCTATGGTTCTATGATGGTGCTAAATAAAGGCGATTAGTTTTGTTGTTCGGCCCTTTGCAGTTACATTCAGATCTCGGGGTAATAACCACAAACAGTATGTTTTACCTAATAAATTGTATAATAATTAGATAATGTGCAAGAACACCATAAGGAGCTTTTCATATAGAGTCCCTCTCTCCTGAGGAGCTGGTGAATGTACTTCAGCTTGAGGGTGAGGTACTTGGCTGAACACTTCTGCCCAGCAGTGTAGCCTCAAGAGCTTAAGAACACTGAGAGTTATGTGCAATGAAAAACACTTATCATCTGTGTGTTGCTGGCCATTTTAACGCCATGGAGGATTGATCTTAGAGAGCAAAAAAACCCGATAGTATATTCAGGCACTCGCCTGGATTATATTTCTGTGAATTTCAAGAGAAGATGAAGAATAAATAAGTGGCTGAGTCCCTCTAGTGCCACTATAGCACACTGCATGCCTCAGATACAACGGCTGCAAAATTGCATGTTATATTTACTTTTTTTTTTAATCCAGAGAGCACTTTTTAGGCTAAAATACCTCACGATGTACTGCTCACATGCAATTGTTTCCTTACATGAGTTTTACGTGATTGGTTTTTCATGTCTTGTTTTGCAAAGCTGTGCAAAAAATGAGAGAATTGTTTGCAACTATTACTGTTAATATTTGCATTGCAAGCAAAAAATTATACAAGGAACTGAAGGCTTGTAAGGTATTTTTTTTTTTTTACCAGAGATATCTCTCCCCAAAAATGACTGGAAGGAAACACAACACAGCTAGTGGAATCTGATGCAATGCTGTATAATAAAACTTGGGAGTGGGAGACATGGGGAAGAACAAGTGCCAGTGAGGGAGGCAAGATAGTTGTGGGGTTTTGTTTTCTTTTGGTGGTTATTAGCCATGTGGTTGTGTTTGAAATGCTAAGACCTTGAGAATCAGTGCTAAATGCTATGATCTAAGATACAGCAATGTGGATATATGTTAGATTAGATTCACTTAATGCTTAAAATTTAGATTTAAAAGTGTATATTCACAGCTAGTGTAAAGTAGTATGGAACTCTCCTTCTAGGAAAAACATTAGAGTCTAGAGAATATCTCCATGTAAGGTAACTTAATGTTGACCTTGGACTATTATTAAAACAGCTCTTTTAAGTATTTCTGTGTTGCCCACTCAGAATTTCTTGGAATATGTTTTTTTAAAAATCTAGCTATTTACTCTTGTGACAGAGTTTTGGCATTCCATCAGGTATGAATAGCAGCTAATAAAGTTTTAATAAGGAAATTAATTTTAGTGTTTAGTCAGCTAGTTGGCTTATTGTTCTCACCAGTCTGTAATGCTTCCCCTCATTTTACTGTTGCACAAATTTTTAATAAGCAGGAGGAAGTGATGAAGCTTTTTCAGAATGCTGTATATGTTATTAGTGTATGTATGAAGTAATAAAAAAACAGGAATGTGAAGTGAGGCCTTCAAAAGTAAATGTGCTGTGTTTTCTGGACATTTTGTAAACCAGTGTCTTCAGAGAGAAGGTTGCCAAACAAACCTGAAATAAGTTCTGAGGGGAAGTGATTGGGAAATGAGTAGGGTAAAATGTTAAAAGGCATCTCTCTGATTGACTTTACATCTGTGCCTTTTTTTCTTAATTTGGGTGCACTTTGGAAGCCTGATACCAGCGGTTATGTACAAATTCCTGTTCACTTGTTCACATAAACTCCTCTTTAGGGCTATCAGTTCTTACCAGCTTTTGACAAAAGCCATAGTTATGTCAAAATGTTTTGGACAGTAAACTTCATCAGTTCTTTCCAAATATGGTAAGATTGATGATTTCAAGGTTGTAAAACAAAATGTACTGAAAGTGAAGTTTTCTGCCTTTTCTTTTTTTTCTTGTTTTCGAAGGTTGGTTCACCATCCCTGGATGTGTTAAAAAAGTTGTATAGATGTGGTGCATGGGGATATGGTTTATTGATTAATATGGTAGAGGAGGGCTAAAGGCTGGACTTGATGATCTTAAAGGTCTTTTCCAACCTAAATGAGTCTACGATTCTGTAATGCTGGGATGACCAAAGACTGCAGATGTGATCTAGGTGTGCCACTACACTGTTTTCTAGATAAGCCCCAGTTAACATTTGAGTTTCAAAAACTTTTATTCAGTTGAACTTTTCTATAAATATCAATGGCAAAATTAGGAAGAACAAATAGAAATAAAGGAGAGTTGGGATTCTTTCCCCTGATTAGTTGAGGTGTATCTCATAGTTTCTATCACCGAGAAGGTTTTATACTTTGTCACAATTTTCTGCTGTTTTAATGACTAGTTCACTGTGAAGTAACCTAGTTTTGGGAAATTAAGGAGTTGTTTATGGCACTGAACATATCCTAACATATTCAGGGTTGATGCCTTAAACTCTTTTGGAATTGTAAATGTCTTGCTTGAGTGTAACACTCTACTTTTTTACAAATTAAAAAGGGAAATATTCAGTATAACATGTTCACTTATACTTTTTTTTTTTTCCCCCAGTTCTTCAAGGATCTTATGCATAGCGTATGAGGTTTTGCAAGGTTTGCAGTATATGAACAAACATGGAATGGTCCACCGAGCGCTGTCCCCTTGCAATATTCTTTTGGATCAAAAGGTACAGCTACAGGAAAAAAATCTGGTTTTTGTGGTTTTTTCCACTTCCTGCCAACAGTAAGCATGCTATGCTGTATATGGAGACTGGGCAGTCACAGTCCTGATGGGTAAAAACATTGCGTATGTGGAAAGGTGTTTTTTTTTTAACTACAGTTTTCCCCCATTTTCTAAAAATAAAATGTATTTCAGATTTTATTTTTCTCTCTTCCATTTTCTTCTGTCCTAAACCACTTTTTTTCACCTTTTTCTTATTAATTTTGTAACCTAAATCTGCATGTCATCATTGTAATTAGTTACAAGACCTTCCTAGCTGTCTGAATAGGAAAATATTTCTTCTGGCTACTTAGCTGTTAATAAAATTTCCTGTGTTTCATGGTGATCTGATACTTGACTTTTAAGATACCCAAGTATTTCTTTGCTCATGTTAAATTATTAAAAATCCTGTGTGTCTCAATTGTGTTGTCACAAACTATTGAGTTGGCAGTGTGGAATGCAGATTCTGCTTATAAGAACTGAAAGAAATTAATAGCTGCTGTTGCACTTCATCTGAAGTGAGCAGGCACTTCATCTGAACTGACAGCCAAAGAACTTAACCTATCTGCGTAACCCCTCTCTCCTTCACCTTCTTACTCAGTTTAGATAGCATAGCTAGATTCTTCTCTTGGAAGGCAGAAAGAAAAGAGGAAGAAGGAACACAGGAGCACAATTTTTTTATATACTTCTAAGCAAATGAAAATCATAATAATGCTGTAACGAGCAAAGGAACTTTAGGATTTCAAGATCTTCCTGATCGATAAAAGAACAAAAGGAGGCCATGAGATTGTGAACTTCTGAATTTTTTCCCTGTGCTTTGAATAGCTTGCTGATGTAGCCATCACTGCTTCACCATCTGCAGGCTAGCTGAGTGTAATTCAAAATCCAGCAGAAACAATGCCTCGGTTAACTTCTATGTCTATTTTTTGTTTTGGTGTTAACTTTATCCCTCCATAGAGTAAAAGCAAGCACCTGGGAAACTTGTGGGTTTGAAATATGTGTTGATACTGTGAAGGAGAGCATGATAGTAAGGAGCTAATGGGAAGGACTCGAGGGGCAAGGCTGGGTAGATGGAAAAGATGAGAAAATAATAGTAATGCTGAGGAAGCACTAGGATTCCAACAGGGTTTCAATCAGTTTTCAGAAAGGAAAAAATGTTCAATACAATATTCAAGCCTTTTTAATTTACTAAAATTTACTGTAACTTGCAAAGTTCTGGTTTTCTTATGTGTTCCAAGCAAGGTGATTACTTAATGCTCTTGGAAAGTAAAAGCATTAGAAATAAGCACCTTACTAGCTTCTTACAGTGGTGTTCTGTGTAATAGATGAGACAGAAATATAAGAGGTATCTGTCTTCTGACAGCTAATCCCAAATTAATGTATTCAATTTTTAAATTAAACACAGATTCTGCTCTTGATCATTTACTTTTTCTCCTTTTCAGGGACATGTGAAGTTGGCTAAATTTGGACTCTACCATATGACTGCTCAAGGTGTTGATGTTGATTTCCCTATAGGGTGAGGACATAGCTACGCTATAGAAATATATCAGGGATGTCTTTTTTAAGGAAATATATTTATGTTTTGAGGAATCATCTTCAAAAATATGTTGTATACATAAGTTATAGGTTGGTGCTGCATACAGCCCTTATACAACCTTCTGATAATGTCACATGAGTTTATTATCTGACTTAATGAAAGGCAGAGAATTAATGCCATATTACTGTAACTATATGGTGTCAGTCCTTATTGCCTAGATTTGTCTTCAAATAGGAGTAGTTCCCTGTGACTCTGATTCTGGAGGTACAGTCTAATTTCAGATTTAGGAAAAAGCACAATCAGTGTTTCACTGTTGCACACCACTGTAGACCTCTTGTCTCTCTATATAATTTTGTGATTTTCAAGTGGTCTTATGGTCTAGCAAAAGTGACATGCATTGTTATAGTCTTCCCTTGCTACCTTTGGGGGGGGTTTTGGGTTTTCATGTTGTTTACAGTTGAAATACTGAACTGATTCTTAAAGACATGCCCAGAAAAAGTAATGTTTCCTTTCAAAAGGTGATTCCAGATTTTTTTCTAAAGTATTATAATGAATTGTTGATAGAAAAAGCCATGTTATTTTAAAATAATCTCACAACAAGCAGAATATGTCCACAACACCTTCTGTCACTTTTTTTTTTTTACAAATTCAGAAGTTATTTTATGGGAATGGAGGTAAATACTGCCACTGGTGCCAAATATGGGTCATGGTCTCAATATGTGTTTTCTTTGAGATATTTAGATAGACTGTTTTGAAAGCTGCTGTTATTTCCCCTCACAAAATGTGCTGCAATGTGTAGATTTTAACAGAATAAAATAAAACAATCATCATTGCTATGAACTCTAGTTTCTAAGAATGTACAATTACGTTTATTACTGTAACTGAAAGGTTTTTTGGACAGACAGGCTATTACTTAATGTTGCTGCATCTTTTTAGGTACCCTTCATATCTGGCACCTGAAGTAATTGCACAGGGAATAGTCAAAGCAAGTGATCATACTCAGTGTGAGAAGCCTCTGCCTTCTGGCCCTAAATCAGATGTGTGGTCTCTTGGCATAATCATATTTGAGCTTTGCATGGTACGTAAGAGGATAATTCTCCTGACTGTGACTCTTGGGGAATAGTTACATTAACTTGATTGCTCTTAGGTATGAGGTTAATGACACTGCCCATCACCAAAGTCCAAATACTGGAATATGTACATCCCTACCTGAAAAGTATTGGTGGTGGTTGAAGTGTTAGGATGCATTTTACCTTGGTATGAGTTTATGTGTTAACCATGAAGGGCAGCTACCTGTTGAATTGTGATGATGTGATTGCATGATCGAATTCTCAGTCAGGAATAGCTTCTGAACAAAGAAGTTTCTCTAGATAATTTACTGCTTTAATTGTGCTTTTAAGCATTGCAATAACCATTGCTGTCATGCCCTCATTCTCCTTAAGAAACTAATAAAGTTTCATGGACAGGAAGAAAAGAGAAAAGCTGTCTTACTACCAAAATTTTAAGAGCTTCTGTAGAGAATTAAGGGTTTGGAAGTTGTTTATTTGACTCTAGAAGTTGATATAAATTATGGCAGCATCATCTTTACTGTTTGTATATGTTAAATTGGACATTTTTCATTCAAAGAGCAATGTTCTGTGGTATGAGCTAGCAAGTACCTCAATACCGGTATTTATTGTATAAGATCATAGAATGATTTGAGTAAAAAGGGACCTTAACGATCATCTAATTCCAGCCCCTCTGCATGGGCAGGGACACCTCCCACTAGACCACATTGCTGGAAATAACTAAACTGTCAAACAATTGCATTGTCAGGAACCTGTTTTATATAGGGATTAGATCAGGACATCGGAAATAGTCTTTTGCATATTCTGTTCTTCTGTAAATTTGCATAATGTTCATAGATCATAATTCTTTTGAATATGTAAGTTATTCTAAAAAATTGCAGTAATATTTTTGAAACACCTTTAGAGGGATTTTCAGGTGACTTTTCAAAAGCACTGGGCAGTAATACAAGCTATGATGATTATTATGTTTAGTAATCAATTAGCTTTGTTCCTGCTTACATTGGAAAAAACACAGCTTTTGAAAGACTGTTATTGAAATAAAATCCTGCAGGTTTGCTAAGGCAGCTTTGGCCTTTGTTTTGCATATGTTTTTGGTTTTATATTTGTTCTAGTTAAGACACATGATAAATTACTTTTTTCTTTATGATTGTATGGAACTGACTTTGCTATAGTTGGGGTAAATAATGTTTTATGTTCTAACAGATAGTTTTCCTAAATCTAAAATTAACATACAGAAACTTATTTCAGTGTCATTGTATATATATGTGTGTGTATGGTATCTAAATAGTTTTATGTGGTAGCATTCAGCTGTTGATTTTGTTCCTCACTTAGGGGAGAAAACTATTCCAGAGTCTGGAGATAGCAGAAAGATTGAAATTTATAATTATGTTAGGTAAGTAGCACAAAATCAATTTTTTACATTTTCAAGCAATTCTATAATTAGAGCATTACAGACTCATCAGCTTGTGATGGTCAGACCTAAGGCACTTCACTTTTGTCAGCTTTCATCTCCAGAATTAAATAGGCATTTGAAGTATGATTGCTTGTGTAGGGATGGTATGGAGGTAGGTGCCAGAAAAAACAACTTTGCAGAAGAGCTATCACCATGTTAGAATAAGGGCAAACTGTAAAAAAAAAAAAAATAATCTTGGGAAAGGTTGTCATTTTGATGGGTATTTGTTGGTTTGTGTTGCCAGAGGTTTCTGAAATGAGTTAGGAACTGTATGACACTAAAGAAAACTGTCTCAGTGCTAGGAGTGTTTATGTCCCAAATCCCAACCAGGGAGAAGCAGGGCTCAGATATGAAGACAGAAAATAAAAAGAGGGCTCAGAAGCATATTTCCTGAATCCAGGCTTTTGCTTCTGGGTTCACTTACAAACTATAAAACATTGCTGTAGATGTAAAATTTTTGCTTAATGTCTGAAAATGGGACTATTTTGTGTCTTTTAAAACTTGATTTATTGTGGTGTTTATATATAATGCATGGGGACAAGAAAGACACAAATTTGCAATATAAAGCTTTTCAGTAAGTTATTATCCATAACAAACAGCAATACTGTTAGTTACCATCAGTAGAAACATCTTTTTTCATTCTGCATTTAGTTCTTGGGTGCTGAAATTCTGACTGTTTAGATAAGTGATTTGTTTACAAAGCTTCCAGAAGCATTTCAGTCCCCTTCAAGTGGAATGCAAGTTTATTAATAAGCCTTTATCCCCTGAAAATATTTGTCTTGACTTGGGAATTATTTTGTCAGTAATGTGTTGAAAACAAGTTTTAAAATACTGCTGCAAGTAGCAACAAAATGAAAATTACTTTGAGCTTCTATATGCAGATATTTTTAAGGTTTTTAAGGGATTTTTTTTGTTTTTATTAAGTGGAAAAACTGTTTATCTTGTTAGGTAGAGATTGACACTGGATTGATAAAGCCTGCAGAAATACTTTCACTGTTAAATGTGTGCTAATTAGTACTGACTTCCGTAGTCCTCAATTTTTTGTCCACATGGGTGATGATAATATTCTAATTTTGAGAATTCAGGTGATGTGGAATTGTCAATAAAAAGCCAAAGTTAAGTTCTTTTTATTGGGATGGGGTTTTATCTGATACCCTGTTTCATTGGTATCACTTTTTTATAGTCTTTAACTTTTCATTTTTCTGTTTTTCAAAGGCTGTGTAGATGATATTGTAACTGTATTGGCTGAAGAACATGGTTGCCTTGATATTATTAAGGTTTGTGGATCTAGTTTGCTCTTCCATGCTGTCTTATCAAAAACATTTTATTATTTTTGCATATTATTTCCCATGTATATATATTTAACTTGGTCACTTGATGTATTACAGTATGAGGAAAAAATTTGAAGTCTACACTACATATCTAAGATCCTTTCAAATAGCCAATACTAGTTGTATTCTTTCCTAAAATTACTGACAGTTTCAGTAAATGTTAGTGCTCTCAATAGTTTAGTAAGTTAAAAAAATTTTTTTCAAGTGTTGGGGGTTAAGTATTTTTATTCTAGAAATTGTGTTCTATCTGATCCACTGTATGTAATCTGATAATGTAGGCTTATACATCTCAGCTCCTTCTGACCCCCAAAATTCATCACTGAATTTTAGTGCCTGTGTATTTTGAGACATTGTGTAGAAGGATTCTGACTATTAGCAGAATGGAGTTCCCAGGTACTGCATTGTTTCAAGCTGGGTACAGAATCTCTAAATTAAAAAATTATAATAAAAAGCTGAATACATTGTCAAGTTCTCAGATGATTATTTTTTTTTCACCAAAGCAAATGTGAGGTTGAGGGTTGAGAAGAATTACTTCCCCAGCATTGTGATCTGACACAACTGATCTCATACGTATAGGTTTGCAATTTTATTGCCCTCAAAGGAATAACCTGTATGTTAGAAGGGGCTTGCTGAATTAACACAGTAATTAACAGACCTCCTCCTTATTTTTCTTATGTTCAAGGACCTTTCTGAAAATGTTGTAGCTCTACTGAAGAAATGCCTTACATTCCAACCTTCTAAGAGGCAAGTATTCAGTCCAAACACCTAGCAAACTCTGCTGGGACACTATGAAATTAAAAGGTCTTTTGCTGAAGCGTTTTTGGAATACTGACTACTTGTGCTACCTTCAATAAATATTTCATCTTGTTGCTTTTCAGTGTTTAAAGGAGAAGAATTGGGGGTGGGAGAAACGGTGGCAGAAATCAAGTGTGCAAAACCTGGATAATTAATCTGAGTATTTGGGGGGAAAACTGTTCAGGCATTTGTAGTTCTAAGTTCACAACTGGAAGTTGGTGGTGGTTACTGTGGCTCGGTTGTAGTCAGAGTTAGAGCTGCTCTCTTCTGATCTCTGCTTTCAGAGTACTTTTTCATTATATCAGTCCACCATAACTTGCTTCTGAGAAGTATGATTTTGTTCTTTAATCAAGGCTTTGCATTTGTATCTTTCATTCTCTGCTATGAGGAATTGAATGTGAAATAATAAATAAAATAGTTGCTATGTACTTTAAATGAAGGTGAGATCTGAACTTGTGCTGTAAACAGACTCCATGGTGTATTATACATCATGAATTGAACAAAACTGGTAGACATTTTTCTGTAATAATTTCTGAAATCAAATATAATTTAAAATAACTTGCTAACATTTGTTATGGAGAGATTTCTTACTGAAACGTAACATTTTTTGAAGCACTTTTAGTATTTTATCCTCTTCTATTCAAGGCCAACTTTTTATTACCTTTTATTCAAGGCCAACTCCAGAGGAATTGCTGCGTGATTGTTTGTTCAGTGAAGTGTCTTCAGTATATCCTACCTTCCACAAACCTCCTGGTCTGTTCTCATCTTCTCCAAGGTGTGCTAATTTAACACTTCCTGAAGACATAAGTCAATTATGTAAAGGTAAAGGCAGGTAGTGGGATAAATGTCATTGGGGGTGGGGGGGAAAGGGTAGTGGGGTAGGAAGGAAAACAAAATGTTTTTGCCTTTTCTTTAAATACCTTATTGGAGAGGAGCTATGTTCTTGTAATGAGTTGTTTAATGGACAGATGTATTAGCACATGTTTTGAGGGATGTATGCAAGTCAAAGGAGGGCATCTTGATTTATTCACTGAAGTTCAAGCACAAAATAGTTGTAATTAGCTTTCAAGTCCAGCATGGGATATCAATATCAACTTTTGCCTTTACAATTTGGACATACATAATTATTTTTTTTCCACTAAATTGTGTTGTGAATTCACTCATACTGAGTGAATAAATACTCAGTATGAACCACTACTTTCTTATCTTTGTTCATAGTGGTGCGTTGTGTACAAAGTTGTGATGCAGTGTTTTTTTAAAAGACAAACAGGAAGCAAAAGGCGTCACTTCCATGTATTTATCTGATCAGTACTATTTTCTGCCAACAAGGCAAACTGTAGAAATATTGGCTTTTTTCTGACTCTTGCCCATGTGCTCTTTCTGTTAATCTTCCTAAAGGGTACTTGCAAAGGGAAGATCACATTTCTTGTAACTTCATGTTAAGGTCTAGGACCTCTCAAGCATGATAGTGTTTTTTTTTCCCACAATATGTGTTTGGAGTGGTAGGAAAAAATAGAAGCTGCCTGAAAAGTTGTCACTCATTTTTATGTGATTTCTCCTAATAGATGAAGATAGTGATTATCTAGCAGAAAGATCAATTGAAGAGGTTTATTATCTCTGGTGTTTGGCTGGAGGAGACTTGGAGAAAGAACTTGTCAACAAGGAAATCATTCGCTCAAAGCCACCTATCTGCACACTTCCCAAGTAAGGAAGGAGAAGCACTTTGAGGGAAAGGAAGATGAATGGAGAGAACATTTTGGTTGGGTTTTTAATTTCAAGACCTGTATGTGTGAAAAATATTGAAAATAGCTTTCTTCGATAGCAGGAAATTGTCACTTATCTTACCCAATTTAAGGCATTATTTGAATGCCTTGTATCTATTGCCTACCTGTATTTCATACTGCTTTCTGAAATTTGAAGAAATATAGATGAAGTGCAAAATAATTAACTGCAAGCCCTTAAATTTGCACTCTTTCTGACAGCATTAAGTTCTAGTAATAATGTCTCACTGTGCTTCAGTGGCACATTTGTAATTGTAATTTAATATGTTCTGTAGCAAATACTCATATTTTGAATTTCCTTTCACGGAGCAGCAGTACTGAATTCTCAGCTCAATATTCAGCAAATCAGCTGATGACTTTTTAAAAAAATGCTTAGTTTTATGAATTATAACTCTGTAACTGCATTTTAGTAGTTACTACCTTTACTGCTGCACACATTGCAATTTTATGTAGTATATTCATGTTTTCCTACAATCTGATTTTAAGAAGCATAATTATGTGTCCATATCAATAAATTTGCTGGTTCTTGGTTTTAAAAACAAGTGAAGTCAGTGTACAACCAACATGCAGTATCTTCGGGGCAGAAAGGTGGAACTAACTACTAAGTGATATTTTGGTGCACAGTTAGGGTGAGATTTTGAGGGATTGCTTATTTCTGTACTCACACAAGAATGCATTTGAATTATGAGTGCTTTTGAATTATGAGGGGAAAACATTATTTTATATATTGTCTCAAACATGAGGTGTTAATTTCAAAAATGCAATCTAACTAAATTTTCTAAGTGATACTGAGAATGTTAGCTTAATTTCTGGAGATCAATTTCATGTTGTCTACTTAAAAAATATCACCAAATAGACATTCTGCATATACTTTCTTGGATACTTTGTATCCTTAGATGGACTGCAGCAGAAAAGGTCTCAGTCAGCCTTTTGCTTGTCAAGGTGGGAAATGTTTTTCATATTACAAGAATGGTTGTTTTTTTTTATTTTCACAATAAATGGCAATCCTGGTCTGTGCCAGGTCAAGGAATAAAAGGGAATATTAATTCTGTATCTCGTTACTATTTGTGTGCAAACCAAAGTTATAGAATAGCTGAAATATGCCTTTTTGCAGCGAAAACTGAAAATAATGTCAGGTGATTGTATATCCCCTTGATAGCTCGTTTCATGACACACACAGTCAATACATTATACTTCTGAGAGCTAGTATTTTGTTATAAAGAGGAAACTGATTGATGTAAGAACTTTCTGGGTCTTTTTCTAACTTGAGTCATGTTATAAAATGACTTGACTGTTTTTATATTTGGTTTTCTGCCCTTTGAAGTTTTGTATTAGAAGATGGTGAGAGCTTTGGACAAGGACGAGACAGAAGTTCCCTGCTAGATGACACGACTGTGACTTTGTCTCTGTGCCAGCTCCGAAATGTAAGAAGAATATTGTGCACTTGTTCTTATGTCTTCACTGCAGAAATATTTGTGTAAAGAGAATATAGAACAGCAGCTCCTATTCCTATAAAAGACACTGTTACTGATTTCAAGAGAATAATTTTTTGGTGTCCAAGTCAGATTCTGATTTATGCTATTAAATTGGTTTGTCTGAAAAAGCTTATTATAATTGATCTATTTTCTGGCCCACGATTCCCTTTCTGTGTCCCTCCCTCTCCCTTTTTTTATTACTTGCTTTGTTCTGGTGTAGCACAAACAGTTCTGCAGTACCTGATATTCTACACAATTGCTAAACTAATTGAGCAGTGAGTGTCTTTTTGCATTCTTTAATTCTCGTCTGCAGGTGGCTTATAGTATTCAGAAGAAAGATCAACTCAGTTCAGTTGCAGCTCCTTAAACGCTTTATAGTTAATGTTGGATACCAAGTTTCCAGTAATTAATTACTAATCTTTGGTATAGATAGCTATTAAACAACTAGTTCCAAAGATAATTTTAAAGCATTTTGTGAAAATGCAATAATGCAGTTTTTTTCCATCTTCAGTGGAAAAATCAACATATGATAACATAATTTTGTCTGGTGTAATGGTCAGTTAAAAGGTTTACTGCATATATCACCAAAATGTTTTAGTTCACGTCTTTGCACGTGTAGAGTTTTCTTACCGTAGAATTGGAGATTTATGCTGAACTGTAGCAAATTGCAATTCTGTCAGTCTTTATTTAAAAAAAACCCTTTCCATATTATTACAGGGGTTAATAGAGAAAGGAAGGTAACTCTTAAAGTCTTGGTTTCTGCTACCATTGCCTTAATTTTCAGGGCAATGTGGAAAATACTGTGTAAACATATTTCTTCAGCAGAACTTTTCATTTCTTCATGCAAATGCATGAAAACAGACCAAAAACTGAGTTATTTTGTTTGGCTTGGTTGGTGGAGTTTGAGGGACAGGGGAGTGAAGAATATGCAACAGCTGTTTTAAATGTAATACAAACTATAGTTCCTGCTGTTGTTCCTGCAAAAGGGCAGCTTTTTAGGTTTTTTAAAAACTTTTTAATCTGCAATTTTGAATATTGCTGCCTCCTATTATAAATATAGCAGCAAGTAAGTCTATACTGAAGTTTCATTTTGGGGAAGATATGAGGCTGAACCTTGCAGTGTTAGTTTAAATAAATGTTTAAACTTAACCAATTCTTCAAACATTTCTTTCATGTAGCAGACCATGAAGTGTTTAATCAAAAGAGGATCAGTGCTGAATGAACTGAGAATGAACTGTTCTGTCAATCCCAGCAGGAACATACTGTGTGCTGTTTGTCTTTAAGTTAGGGATTGAACTGCAAAACAGCGTTGCAGGGAGGATAGTATAAACTAAAGATGTCTGAAAACCTCAGGCAGAAGTCCAGGCATGCTTGTCTGTCACCTTTTCAGAGTGTGTTTCTCTGCAGTTTTCAGATGCTGCTACTAAAAGGAACTCAAATTTGCATAACTCCTGAACTGATTAGAACATACGAGCAAGTTGTACAGTTGCTTTGCAGCTACTTGGATAGGAAGTCCACACAGAAAAACGAGGAGAAGAAAAAGAATCGTATCATACTATTGATCCATTAATCCATGGGCCATATAATCTATTTTTTGTGTGGAAATATGTTTATTAATAAGGCGAGTGTTATTTTCAGGCAGAACAACTTCCATCAACTCAAAATGCCTGTATTAGCAACAGTTTTTAGCATTCAAGGCTGTGTGTTTGTTAATGCTTAGATCTCAAAGCAATCTACTGAATTTGGCAAATGAATTGCTAATTAATATTTTCTGTATTCCACTAAATATTTCCACTTGAATTCTGAGCAGCATTAGCATTCTGATAATGGATTATTTTTATTCTTCATTTCAGAGACTGAAAGATGTTGGTGGGGAAGCATTTTATCCATTGCTTGAAGATGAGTAAGTGTGTGTGTAAGTTTAGACATGTATAGGGGACTGAATTTTGATTTATTAGTTTTATTAGAGTGGCACACTACACAGCAAGACACAACTGCTTTCCTAAAGCAAACCTAACATGTCCCTGTTTGACTTTTAAAGTCAAACTGATAAGCACTCTTCACGGGTGACCCTAGGATACCCTGATACCACACTGAGGGTCCTAGCTTGTTTGTTCTGGAAATCAACTGTTTGTGCTGAATGTTCAAAATTATCCATTGATAGTTGTTTCTGAATCAGAAATTAATTTTTTTCACAATTATTTTTATTTCTTGCTCTTCTAACTCTTTTCCAGTCAGTCAACTCAACCTCATTCAAACAGTAGTAATGAGCTGTCTGCAGCTGCTAGTCTTCCTCTGATCATCCGGGAGAGGGACACAGAGTACCAGCTAAATAGAATTGTCCTTTTTGACAGGCTGTTGAAGGTACGGAATCTTTCTGATGCTGGCTAATTGGATTTAGTCTGTTAATTAGAGGATTTTTAAAGGCCCAAGTAATTGAAAAAGGAAATGGATACAAGAGATCATGGTGGTAAAGGGAGAAGAAAGCCCTACAAAAGTGTAAGAAGATTGAAAATAAAAATATGAGAAATAAGTCTTCTCAGCAGTTATAAAATTAAATTTTAAAGTGTGCATGTGAAAACAGAGGTGCTGCTAATAACTGTTATTTACTGAAGAATATACTTCTGCATCCTTAATTTCATAATGGACTAATCTATTACAGGTATGTGCACACTTGCTACATTTCTGCATTTCCAAGCAGTAACGTAGTTGAAAAGAATACTAGTCTTTACTGTAGTAGTGTTATGTTAGAAAAATGGGTTTTATATTGAGCAGGGGAAAAATATCAGTCCCTAATTTATATATATGAGAAGAGGTGGGATTCTTGCTTAAGAATGAGAGAGAGGTGGTGCATGTCATTTGACTGTGGTACTTAGGAAGGTATAATCTAGAAATGCTTGATAAAGCAAAGTTGGATACATAGTAGCAAAAGAAATATATAACAAATAAAAACCTTTTAATAAAAACCTTGGATTACTAAATTTATATGTCCAGTATATACCAAAGCAGGTGAATACTTTTATGAGAAGAAGTGGGTATTTCAACATCAAACAGTAGTCCTCCATTCAGGTCTTACAATTAGGAATTAAATTTACTTGTAAAACTTGCATTCACTGTTTAGGTTGACAGCGTTTGTCCTTTGGAGGACAGACTGTCCCAGGATTGGGTTTTGAATTATTTCAGTTACATAGTAACATTTTTTGCTGTTAATCTCTTCTCTTTGAAGGCCTACCCTTATAAGAAGAATCAAATTTGGAAAGAAGCCAGGGTTGACATCCCTCCTCTTCTGAGAGGCACAACCTGGGCTGCCCTGTTGGGTGTTGAGGTAAGGATAATGGAGGTGCATTTACAGAAGTTCCAGTACTGACTGGGGAGAGAAGAGGATAGGAATGGAATTGACAGGGAAGCTGGAATCGTTTTGAATATTTGGCAGGTAGAATTACTGGAATTTCAAACAAAATTAGTAATGTAATTGTGTAAACAAAGATGATGTTCAGACAAACTTTTTGTAATATTATTTGATTTCAGAGAATGTGTGTAAATTTGACTGTCTTTAATTTTGATTATAGAATGGAAAAATACTTCCCATACAGCCAAATATTTCTAGATTGTTGAAATACAATTGGTAGCTAGCAGAGTCCTTCTGCTCCAGTCAGCAATAGCTGGACAAAACAATATGAAGCATATTAAGTTATTTTTCTCACCTAGTATTTAATGCACTTTCTCCAAAGACTAGAGAATAAATGCATTAAATGTAGCCCTTTTGGACAAAGGACTAGAATGGGATGTCCCAGAAATGAGGACTCCTCACGCAGTTTGCTTGACTACCCAGTTTTTGCATCTACCCTTCTTGCAATCAGCAGTATTGCAGAAAAGAGGTACTTACAGGTAAAACATACAAGGTTATTTAGGATATTTAGCTTAGCATATGATTTGCCAAGTGCTATATATCATGGCCCAAAAACAGCTGTAAAGAACAGCTGCTTGTCAGGGTTGTAGCCTGGATCTTGGGAGAAGAGTCTGTTCTCACGCTTCATCATTGTCGCATAACATTCAGATGGATTTGTTAGCAGACCTGTCTTGGGATTCATGCAAACACAGGCTACTTACAAGTAGTGGATATTGGAAATATAATTTTTAATTAACAGGCAGCTGGATTCAGTGCCTTGACAGAGATGATGCTGGAAGCCACTTTCCGGTGTCTGAGATAAACACTGAATTTGAATTGCGAGCATCTCTTAACTTGAAAATGATAAACTGTATCAAGTACATAGCTTTCTGCATAATCAACTGAAAATTGCTGAAGATCATACTGAGGAGGTCACAGAAAGGTCCTGAATTATCACAGAATAAAGATGGCTTTGTTAATATTCAGCTGTCAGAATTTTTTTGCTTTGGTAAATTTTTTCAAGAAAAAAAGTTGCTAACTAAAGCACCAAACAAAACCACTCAACTTCTGTTTATCAGCATGTACATTGTAATTTGCAGTAAGGGTTCCTAAATTCACGTGTTCTTCTTGTGCATTTAGGGTGCCATACAAGCAAAATATGATGCCATTGATAAAGACACGCCGATTCCTACAGACAGACAAGTAAGACTTTCTGTGTTACCAAATACTGTCAGTTGAAGTAATGCAAAGATCTTATCCACCAGTCACAGTTGTTTGCCTATTACAGCAAATTTGGCTGATAATACTTAAAGGGTTCCCCCTGTCTTCTCACCTTATTCATGGTGTTGTGATAATCTTGCAAAACTGATAGGAACACAGTTTAACTCAGATTATATGTGGAAAGTGAACTCCTCTCTTACTTCAGACTGCCTATTTCTGTAGCAGCAGCAAAGTGTAGTGAAAAATATTACCGATGTATTGGTAAAAGTCTTCTGTTTATTGAATGTTTGTTTGCCTATTGGCCCTTTACCAGGTAGTGACAACTATCCTGAGATCCTGTAAGGTGAGCTGTGCTTCACAGGCATGGGTTCTTGAGCAAAATGATTCTCCAAGAAATCTTGCCAGACATAAAAAGACATCATGAGGAACTGCAGTTCTTTCACCTGGGTGAAGATACATGTTCCATTGAACTGGTTACAACGTTTTGACATATTAGCGTCTGAAATTAGTCCAGAATTTGAGTTCAAAAAACTGTAACTATAGTCTGCTTTCTGTCTTTTTTGAGGGTTGAACCCTTTTAAAAATACTAATCTGGGAAAATCTTTGACAGGGCTGTTAGGGTTCCCTGTACCCTTTCAGTTTTGGTTTTGGAAGTGGTGGAGGAAGCAGATTGTGTTTATGATGGTGGTCTTACCTGAATTTGGCTGACTTACACCTCTAGTGTTGCAAGATTGCCGTAGTACTACCTCACTTATCCTGATTTCTCTTTGTATGGCTGTGGTGCAGATTGAAGTTGATATTCCTCGTTGCCATCAGTATGATGAATTGCTGTCATCACCAGAGGGTCATGCAAAGTTTAGACGAGTATTGAAGGCCTGGGTTGTTTCCCATCCTGATTTGGTGTACTGGCAAGGTAAGTTTGACTAGCTGGCAAGATCAGATAATTAACTGGAAAGCTATGGCTGACTTAAAAATACATCCCTCTCCCCACCCTCCCCAATGTAAGCTTTATTTTGAGAGCTTTCCTTTCTGTTTCTTTTCAAGAATGAATCTGTGGGGTTTTGCAAATTTAAATGCTAATAATTTTTATTTTATTTGTAATGCGACAATGTCCCACTCTTTCTTTTAAATTTACTCTCTTTATGTTTTGGTTATTCTTTTTTTTTTTTCAGTAAAGTTTGTTGCTTACTATTCTGTTCCAAGGTAAAACTGCTGAAGTTACTTAGTAAGTTCTTGGGATGATAAACTGCATTTCTTGGAAGCCTTGGCAGAATAATCAATTCAGTGTTAGTTGAACAGTTTTTTAAATCCTCTCTGTTATGCACTGATTTCACAGTTTTTCTCAGTATTACATGTGAAGTCTGACATTTCAGAATTATAATCAGTGTCAAGTATGCAAATTTTCGTCATAAATTAATGAATTTATCTTGTACATTAAAATAAATGAGGTACTTATGCTCTTTCTATATTGCTCTTTTCTCTTTAGGTTTGGACTCTCTTTGTGCACCGTTCCTCTATTTGAATTTTAACAATGAAGGTGAGTGCCTCTTTCTCCTGGGGGTAAAGGAGAGGCATACTCTGTCATCTGCATGGTGATTGTAGACAGATGTGTGCACAGCCACTTAATAGATGGAAACTTTCTGTAGCTACGAAGGAATTTTAAAGCTCTTGTAGCCACAGTTGAAAAGAAATAGTTGGGTTTTGAAAAGTGTACATGGCGTACTGCTCTTCAAGAAGGGGTTTAAACCCTGTGTTTATTGCAAAGTGCAATAAGGAATATATAATAAAAGGCACAAATAACCTTGATTATATAAAAGAAAAAAAATTGCTTTTCTAGTACTTATATTTTTCAGTGAAGCTGCAGTTCAACCTTCTTTGCTTTATTATTTAACCTAATGGCTAACCTGTCAGACTATCTTTTTTCAGAAAAGCTGGTGTGATAGTTTTAAAGGCCTAAAAGCTTACCTGACCAGCTTTGGATATGTGGCCTTTATCTTTAGAATGAGATTTGTTCAGAATAGGTTTAGTCCTATCTTCTATCCTCTTGCACCTGCTTTCCTTTATAAACGGTCTGTGTGAGAAAACTAGTCTCTTAGGAACAACGACTCCTATTATGCCTATTCCACATAATAATTTAAATATTTCAACAGATTTTTCTTGCTCTTGGACATGTTCCTGTACAGTTTGATTACAGAACCTGGTTTCCTTCCCATTGAAGTAAATGATAATAGTAGTGGATTATGTAAAATCTTGTGTTCTGGTTTAAGAACTTCATTGTACATATTTGGCTCAGATATTTAAAAAGTTGTTGCAGTGCTAGAAAAGCACAGAATTTGTTTATACCATGATCCTATGTCACATTTGCTATAAACCTGATATTTTGCTTAGGGACTTCCCAAATGATATTTATCATCTTGAGACAGTTTGCCCTAAACTCGTATTTGATTTTTATATCTTTTTACCTCCATGGCTAAGAATTGTATTACAATATGTTGTCTCTAAGCCAAGTTTCCAAGAATTAATCAGAAAGTTGAACACTTAAGTTTTTACCCTCTAATCTCTATCTGGTACATATGCGAGGAGCTGTTGAGAAACTTAAGATGTTTCTGTCCATCTTCTTGACAGTATTTTAAATTATATTCCACTTACGAATTTTATCATCTTTAGTCTCTGAGCTGAAGTAAGAGACAAGATGTGAGTCTGATGGGACATAAGCTGGGTGTAAGTTTTATAGGAGAAAACGCAGAAGACTACAACAATGCAGCTGTCTGAAACTGGCTTCTAAAATGTTACTCAACCAGAGACCTTCCCTTTTTGATACAAACATCATCATGTCTTCCCAAATAAATTAGATCAGATCCAACTAGCTTTATATTGTTTACTTAGTGAGAGAAGGAGACTTTTTTGGGAGCTTTTAAAATTCTTGAATGAGTATTGTGCCCTTTTTATGTGTTTTACAATAATTTTTGTGGCTAGATTGATAGAAATATTATGTGTATTGTATGCTTAATAGTGAACTTTCTTTAGGTATACTTATGTTTGTGCCTTTGTTCCATACATTTTTCTAATTCTTTCAGCTCTGGCATATTCCTGCATGTCTGCTTTTATCCCCAAGTATTTGTATAACTTCTTTCTGAAGGATAATTCTCATGTTATTCAAGGTAAGTCAGTCACTTTTTCTATTTTTCTACTTTTTCTTTTTCTTTAATTTGTTCTAGAGAAGTAGAATTATTTCTGGATATATAAATACATTTTCAAGTGGTTGTGAAATTGAAACACATTTAGAATCACTCTGTTGGAATACCCACCGATTTATTTCCAAGGTTTTATTTTAGATAAATAAGAACAACAGTCATGCAAGAAATTAGACACCAAATAAGTGGATAAAGATAAAAGCAAGAGAGAAAACCCAAATGCACACACGCGTGCACACAATTATTCTGTGTAATTTCCAAAGTAAGACTCAGTGGATCATGCAAAGTTGTAAAATGAGGAAGTAGTCTTTCCAGTGTTACATTGTGAAGACCTACCCTTCCAGGTGATCCAAGTCTTACTGTTACAGGAGTTGTTTGGACAAGGGACTCTTCAGAAAATGGAAGTTAGGGTGTTCAGAGAGTTAGGGATTTGAAGCAGATAATGTCATTTGATACGGGACAGGAGCTAGAAAACCCTGAGGAATAATGTTCCATAGTTTATTCTCCAACAACTATGTAGATAAGATTAGCTGGGAGATATGTCTGTTCTACTTGAAAATTAATTGTACATTTCATGGAAATATGATGAAGGAATTATCTAGACCTAGAAAGCCACCTTGGCAGAGTCTGTATTGGGAAGATAATTGGTCTTACAGTTTTTAAAAACCAAAAGAAGCTGTTTGAAAAGTCATCAGTAGTTTTTAAAAGCAGATGATCATGAATGTTTTTAATTTCAAGCAGCTATGAGTGTTTACTGGGCTTCAGCATGGCTTGCAGCCCTAGTATTTCTTTTAAATAAATTATTTTGTTTATACCTTGTGAAACTCCTCAACCTAAAAATATGTCATGTTTTTTGTCTTCAAAAATTTAAAGGTAATTAATAACTATTCAGCAAAAAATAATTGGACATAAAAGCAGTTGCATATTGGATAACGGAGAGAGCTAACATAAGGAGAGAACATAGTAGTTAGGAGAGTTTACATATGAAAGATAATGGATAAGAAGTGTTATGAACTGAATAGGTAAAATAATTTGGAAAGACAATTCAACAGAACTTCTTTGCATCCTTTTGCCTGTAAAGAGTGCTTGTTGGAAAAAAGAGACAGTAAAGGTCTAAAGATTTAAGGAGTAAGTTTATCAGATGCTCTTGTGGAGATGACCATTTTAGCCTTCAAGATTAGTAGCTTGATAAAGGCTTTTGCTCTTTTTCCATAAAATAATAGTTTTGCTCTCTAGAGTTCCCTGTTGTTATTCCTAAGGGGCTTTACAAAAATATGTAGCAAAGTTAGAAACACAGATTGTTAGGATTCTGTGAACCAAAAGTGTAGGCATTCCGCAGTGCCTTTGTGACATCTGACTTGGGGATTCTTTCAGTATTCTGATTTAATCCTTTCTAGGTTTGGATGTCAAACACCAATGTGTAAATAGAGTTTTAAAAATTCTGTGTAATTTCCCTGCTTTATTTGGGTTGGAAGAGACTGTTAAGAATGTGTCATTTACTTGCCTACTCTGATTTTAGTCTTAGTGTCCTTGTGTCTTCCATGTAAGGGTGGACTGGAGGAATCTTTCAAGCTGTGGAGTTCAACATACCTAATTTCTGAGTTTGTACTATAGAATGAAAATAGGGTTTTTTTCTAAGGTGTATTTGTAAGATGTTTTAAGAGGTTCTAGTATGTTTTTCCTTACCTGAAATAGGAAGCAACAGCAGTTAAAGGGGATGGCGTATGGAATGCCCAATTGTATCGGGCATATTATATACATATTCAACCCTGAAGCCCCATTACCTTAAAACATCAACTTCCAAATTACAAAATTCAGCTTTGCAGAAAAGAAGCCACCAAGAATAGATATTAAAGTGTATCACTTTGTGTGTCCCTGAAATAGTTTAAGTCTTAAAAATCCTTGGAACAGTCTTGTTCCAGTTTGTGTCCATCAGTATCTTGTGGTTCATATTCATACTGAGAAGTCATTAACTTTGCGTATTGAACGTACATCTCAACCTATGTATGAACCAAGTAAACCATTGTTGAAAATCCAAATTGGGAGTACTAAGGAAGAGGAACGGAACCTTTTTCTTCTGTATTGAGTATAATGGTGATATGAAGGATAGTAGTGGTATTCACTTACTGGGTTTTGTGCTTTCACTTTATTTTTTTAAGTAGTGTTCTTCCTTTTTCATAGCCCTATTGTGAACTAACAGCGTATGGTGACTTGTGTTTTTGACAATGACCTTGAATTTGCTTGTCATTTCAGAATACCTGACGGTGTTTTCCCAGATGATTGCATTCCATGATCCAGAGCTGAGTAACCACCTTAATGAAATTGGTTTTATTCCAGATGTAAGTGCTATGTGTTCTTTTAAGTATTATTTAAAGGAAGTAAGAAATGGAAAATGCGGGTGACTAGGATGAGATGCCGTTGCAGACTGTTTCAGGAGCAGTTGGACATAAGTGAAACATGCATATTAATGGACCTTTCTGAGTATGATTATAAAATGGTAAAGTTTTGATTGTTGTTTTACATACCTCAGTCCTTCCTGTTCTATTGTCACAGTAAATACAATAAAAATACTGCAAGTCAGCTATTACAACTTACAGATTGATCTTACAAGATGTATTTAATTTTATTTTTCAAGTGTGGATTAATATACAAAAATTAACATGGCCATAAATTATTAAGAGCAAAATACCTGCAAACTAATTAAACGCTATTGTTTAGCATAGAAGACATCAATTTGCAAGTAATACAAAAAAAAATGTGCAAGTGATAGTTAATCTCTATATAAGTTAGACATATGGAAAATGCTTATCAGTTATTTGTTGGAGTCTATCAGAAACATTGGACAAGTGCATAACTTGTGTCTATGTTTTATGCTTTTTATTGAAGAAGTCTGTAAGATGGAGGAACATGAAATCTGGGAACACAGCCAAAATGTAGTAGAGAGGGAAAGCTATGTTGGAGAAGGCAAAACAAGGCCTTCTTTAGAGCCTCACTTTTAGCTACCACTGTAAATAGTGAAGCTTTTGTCCTTTGTTTGGAGACGTGTGTGTAGTCCAGAAAGTCAAGATAATTCTCTATACAAATTTTGTCTGTCTGCTATAGCATTATTGAAGTTTATGGCTGATGTTTCTGAAAAGTAGATTTAGGCAAAGCTATACAGAGAAAACTATTAATTGATGCTATCTATATCATGGTGTGTTTGACATTTAGAAATTTGCCAATTACAAGTTGGTTTTAAGAGCAGATGATGGCTAACAGTTCAAAATGAAAAAAAGGAAGCTAAAATTGGGAGGTGCTGACGTAGAAATATAAATGTCCTAAGTAAGAAATGTATACACATTTCATCTATAAGCAATATAAAGCATATTTTATCAGAAAAGCTTCCTGCTTCTTAGGAAATGCTTTAATTTGAAGCAGCAAGGCCAAGACTCTGAAAATCATTTATTGTACATAATTCCTGGGTGAATTTATGTATCTTTGGGACTTCATGATCTCTGTTTGCAAAGATTGTAATGGAAAGCAAAGATATGCTGTCACGATCCGGTATTCGGGTACGTGGCAATTTTAATAAATAAAGGTGATCCCAAATGGTAAAATTAAGACACAAACGAGGTCAGATGTCACGCACACAACAAACTTTTATTGCAATAACACAACAAAAGTCCCTAGAGCGGATAGGACAGGCAGGAAAACAGAGACAGGAAAGAGAGGAGAAAGCAGAGAGATAGAGGACAGAAAGCAAGAGCCTAGTTACCACCCACGGTTCAGTGATGTCGTCGATGTTGTCGGTGGGGAAGTAGTTCCAGGTGGAGAAGTGCTTCATTGCACCCACAGAGTCCCCCATTTTTATACAGTCCTTGCCCACTGCACCCTCACTTCTCTCCCTGCATAGGGAACAACCCTTCGGATCTTCTCTGTGATAGCAGGGGCAGGTATGATGCCAGGGGCTATGTAGTCTTTGGCTAATTGATGAGATCAGCCATTACAAAGGAGGAGGCTGAGTCAATTGCCACTACAGGATTAGTTCCTTGCTGTGGAGTTTCGGTCCCAGGAAGTACCTTGAGACTGGCACTCCTTGTCTTGTCCTGTAAAATCTCATCAGCAGGGGTCGTTCAACTCTCAGATGCCTCGGGACAGACAAAAGATATCCTGAGTGCCAAAGTCCAAGCTTATCTCTTGGATTGTTCGAGACAAGCACTGTACATCCTGAATGCCACATATGCTTTCATTTGTATAGGTGTTTTTAATGTAATAATGTTGTATAAGAATTTAAAAGATACTGTGGCATGTCATTAAAGGGAGAAGAAGAGAAAGCCAGTGTATTTCATTATAAACAGAGGTATTTGAGAAGGCCACATGTACTGTTGCTAAGTCACATCTGAAGAGGGCAGGTGGGAGGAAGATAAAGGGAAAGTGGGGAGAAGGGAGAACATTGATCCATAGAAAGCCTAAATATTTGAGGTATAAAGGGCATAGGTAATAGAACCATAGAATTTTTTTGGTTGGAAAGGACTTTTAAGATCGAGTCCAACCATTAACCTAACTACTCGTTCTGGTGCTAAGCCTTACTCCTAAGCACCACATCTAAATGTCTTTTAAAGACCTATAGGGATGGTGATTCAATCACCTCCCTAGGCAGCCTATTCCAGTGTTTAATAACCCTCTCAGTGTAGAAGTTTCTTCTAATATCCAATATAACAGCAATGTTTAAGTTCCTGAGGGAAGAATAAATGTTGCAGCATCATTATGTAAATACACTTGATACGTATTCTTAAAGGCTGTGGATGACCAAAGCAGCGCCTCTATGTGTTGTGCAGTGACGTGCGGAATAACGACTTTAGAACCAATAAGGTTATAAAGAAGGTATGTTTATTCAGCGCTGGGTGCACGGGGGCTCGCTCCTCCACAAGCGTGCACACCCTAGAGCTATTGGCAAGTTCATTATATGCCACAAAGTAATACATATTCATCTATACTGTTGCATATACATTAGGTGTCCGAGGATAGGGAGGGGTTATTACAATTAATCATTAGCATAGTTGCCCCCCGAGCTCCTCCTTGTTGCACTTGCGCAGTATCTTCTGGTGGTCGTGGGCAGGGGTCTTTGGGATGAAGACCGTATGTCTTCCTCGCTGTGCACTTTTCACCTCTTGGCATTCCTTTCTGGGGTCTGCACCAGGGTCTTGTCTTCTCTGCAAGTTTCTGTGGGAGCATCCTCCCACACAATACCTTCCCTCACAATTCAGGCCTTATCTATACATTCCAAGCCTTATCTATGCTAAGCAGTGCCATCCTGTTTACTCCTTATGTGTTAGTCCTTTCTACCAAGGTAGGCCATCTGGCTTTCCTCAGATCAGCAGGATATTAGATCCCACTGGAGGTAGGGATGTCATTTCCCTGACCATCTTACAGATCCCAATTTCTGCTACTAACCTACATGAGAGCTCTGTAGCAACAACCTGTCTTAGGTGTTAGCTGACATTTCAGCAGCTTCTAGTGTCTGCTTATGCAGTTATAATTCTCCACTGAAAATGTTAAAGGTGCGAGTTAAATGAAGTAGTTTAAAATTTGTGTTCTGCTAGTCATTGAACAGGACACAGACAAATGTGAACTTTGTATTGCTGTCTAGAGATCATTAGATAATGCAGTAAATAATTTTTGTTAGAGGGGTTGTTTTAAAAAAAAAAACAACTTTTATTGAATACAAATGCTAGTGCTAAAATTAACACTAACCTCTGAAGACAGGTTGTCCTTTCTAAGTTGTCTTTGTTGGTTTTTTTTATTATTTATAAAAGTTTTTCTGGCTTTAGATTAGTGAGAGGCAATTTTTGTACCTGTAACGAGACAGCACAAAATCCATCAAGGTGAAGGATATGCACTGTAGTAATGAGATCTGAACTAATTTTGAGCTAATCCTTTCGAAGTAAACCTTTTATTAATCTTGCATCATTGAAACATAGGCTCTGCTGCAGGAAAGTTTGTGTTTCCTGGCACCCTTCCCCTTTGCTTTGGGTCACGTAGCTCTCAGAATATTGAAGACTGGTGAAGCATGAGTAGTTGTTAATGCTGCTAGTTGCTGTGGTGCCTGGATTTACATGTAAATACAGGGATATATACAGGGAATCTAACAGTTCTTCTTTATTCACTCTCCCAAAGTTTACAATTTCCCCTGCTCTGTATAATGCTGTATAGCATGCTCTGTATTTTACTGAATAATTTTGACATCAAAAGACCCTTCTGAACTGGAGAAAAACAGGGAAGTGTACTACATTACTAAAAGGATAACTATATCCATAAATTATTCTAAAGAGCTTTCAGCTGCAAATTATGGAAGCTAGACACAGTTGTCTGCTGGCCATTAGCAGAGATTACAAAGTCTGGCTGCAGTTACTTAATATTATTGTGCTGGAGCTCCTGTCATAGGTACATAAATAACTTAGCTTGGTGTTAGGTATAAGCAGATGTCACTAACAGGGCTGAGTCCAACTGAGAATTAAAAATCCTGCAGTTGAACTACTTTATCTCTGTTTTTCTGTTACATGCTTACCTAGTGGTGAATTTGGGGGAGAGGTTTCTTGCTGGTATTTTTATCTTGTGAGGAAAGTGATCATTCTTCAAATGTTGTTAGTGTAGGTGCATATAGGTGGGTAGAATCCCATATTAAAAATTGGACTCTGTTCTCTTTGAATCACCGTTCATCAAAATATTTTTGCACTTTTCTGTAGCATTTAAATGTATGTTTAATTGTCTAAGCACTGTATAGGCTTGAAGCAAATATGTGTGTGTGCATTTCGAATACGGAACATAAAGATGCAAAATCAAGGTTTTACAGAATAGCCTATTTCAGTTGGAAGGGACCTATAAAGATCGTCTAGTCTGATTGTCTGACCAGTTCAGGGCTGACCAAGTTAAAGCCTGTTGGTAAGGGCATTGTCCAAATAGTGTCAATGTTTCATAAACAGTGACAGTCTCGGGGCAGAGACCACCTCTCCAGGAAGCCCATTCTAGTATTGGCCTCCCTCTCAGTAAAGAAATGCTTCCTCATGTCCAGCCTAATCCTCTACTAGTGCAGGTTTGAACTGTTTCCAGTCTCCAATCACTGGATACCAAGGAGAAGAGCTCAGCACCTCCCTCTCCACTTTCCTTACTCAGGGAGCTGAAGAGAGCAGAAAACTGATTTTCTTAACAAATGAAAATTTAAACAAAAAGCAGTTGAGAGGCAGCCTTGTTAGGACAACTCAGCAAAATTGTTTTGCACATGTATCAAACAGGCCAAAAAAGAAAAAAATAAGTGGCAACTTCATGCACAGAAAGAAAAAGAAAAAAATGTTCATCTTTGGCCTTCTCACCTCATACAAACCATGATCAATGGTACAGCTAAAGTACGTACACAAGAAAGTTACTGCAATGCTCAAAGTAAGATTGTATGGTTGAGGTTGTTTTTTTATGGTTTTGTCTTACTTTAATTGTTTTTTTTACAAGGTTTTGGTTTTTTTTCCCTTGAGATAATGGTTTGGGCCTGGTCACACCCCAAGTAGAGATAGGTAATGAGAGTTACGTTCTTCAAAGCACCTCTTTTGGTTAATCAGAGATCTGTTAAAAATGGCAGACCTCATAACAACATGTACAAATATAAAAAGTAAATTAAAAATAGAAACAAATTATCCTTTAGTTTTCTAAGAAAGAAAGCAGAGCCTTGGAAGTTTTGGTACCAGGGATGGGGAAGGGAGTCTGTAAGAGAAGGGAGGGTTCTCTCTGCTTGCTGAGGATGACCAGTGTGGAGGGAGGAAAAAGGGGAGAGGATGTGGGGAAGGGGTTTGCAGTGGGAGGTGGGGGGATAATTCCATTATCCTGCAACCAGGTCAGGTCCATAGATTCACTGTACCTGTCTTACGATGTTCATAAAGTGCACCTGGGTCATACAGGACAGCCACTTTTTTCTTACAGGCCTTTCACAGAGCAAGAAGTTTGTGTATGCCTTTTAATACTCCTTACTGTCCCACTAACAAATAGTAACACTCATTTTCACGTTGCTATTCCTTCTGAAATATCTTCAGAATTAAAATCCCTTGAGCCTTAAGATCTTTAAAATTACTGTCTTTGCAACTGAAATCTCAATCTTCTGTAGACACGAGTGTGTAAAGTGCTCATTTTCTGTTGGTACAGTCAAATAAAAAATTCAAGACAATAAAAACAGGCAATAACTAAATCCTCATGGAGAAGGCTTTCATCAAGATTTGAGCCAGTATCTCTAAAAGCTTTGAATGTCTATTAGGAGATGCCCTCAAAATATGTCCATGTAACTATGGGCAAGTACATCTTCACCCCATTGAAAAGCAATGAACTGCATCTACAAGCTCAGCTACTGAGCAGAATTTGTCATAGCAGAGCACTGTGAGATAGGGGTAGGGATAAGTATAAAGATGGAGAATGAAACCAAGTCTGAGGACAAGAGATCTCAATTTTAAGTAAAAAAACCCTGTGTATTAATTCAGACTGAATGGAAACTGATGTTGGGGGAATGCTGTGTTCTTGATGCATAATAAATATCCAAGTCCTTACTTAAAAGCACAGAAGAGCTTGTATTTTACCAGAAAAGCAAAATGATAATTATGACATGGCTGATCTCAAGCTCACTCTAAAGATTGAAATGTTTGTTTTACAGGCTCTTATTTTAATGTGATTTATTCTCAGTCTGTTCCAGCAGTTCAAACGCAAATTTTATTAAACATTAGGTATACTTTCCAACTACGGGGAGCTAAGTATCAATAAAAAAAGGTAATGTTTCAGGGTCCTGTAGTGGAGGGTTGAAAAGCGCTTTTAACAGCAGCTTTTTAGTACAGAGCATGGCACAATGCTGTTCCAGCCGGTGATTGCTAGAGGGCAGTCTTTACTAATAGGATCTTAAAAGAGCAGTCCTTGAACTGTTAAGAATTTGGTGGCCTATTTATTTGAGGGCTTCTAGTCAGTGCAGTTCTTTTTGTATGTGTTTTTTAGTTTTATTTGCATGGTGGAATAGTACCACAAGTTTTTTGGGGGGGTTTTTTGTTTCCTTATTAATAGTAATCATAACTTCTTCAGGTTTACCAAGACCTGCTTTTCTTAGAACATTGTATTTATGAAAACCAGAGGGATAAATCCCTTCAATAAAACCTTGCCTGATACCTTCAACTGAAATGGTTTTAAATACTTTTTTTGTCACTGTTGTTAGGTTTGGTGAGGATGGTTTAGAACAACCCCATGCTTTGCCTTGGCATTATATTTAATAATCTGTTTCATGCTGCAGATTTTTTCTTTTTTTTTTTTTTTTTTTTTTTTTTTTTTTTTTTTTATGTTTCTATGTAGAAACATTAAAGATAGAGGTGTATTTGAAATTAGGAGAGAGCATGGATGTGCTTTGGTAAAACACTTTAATCAAATACATGAAAAATAGAATATATATTTTTTTTAAAATACCAAGGAAGTAGTGTAGTTCAAAATTCCATGCACCAATGACATACCTCCATGCAAAGAGGAGCCTTAGGCTATTTGGAATGCTCATTTTTTGCTATTCCCTGCAAAGCAAGATATTGCATACAAGCAAGCGGGTAAACAGGTATTATCTGATCACAACCTCTGTAGGAGGTATTTCAGGGGGCAGCATATGTTGTTATTCAGTAGAGAGCCATCTATTGAACACGTGCCAAAGAGATAGTAATGGAAAAGCATTTAAAAAAAAATTTAAAAAATTAAAATGCTGATAGAAATTGATTTGGTTTTTGAACCCTTAAAATCAATCAGCAGGTTGGAGGACAAACATTATAAAAGTCCCCTGAATACTGAAAATTATGAGCAGTTTGGTTATCACAGTTTTTAAAGTTTTACAGACATTGTAGTTCAGATACAATCAATCAGTTGATCAGATGAAGATATAGCAATAAAACTTAGAGCTGTGTTAAAGAGCTTTTCAGTAAATGTAGGTATCATTTAATCAGTGCTATAACCCATTTATGAGTTTATGGAATAAATAGTAATTTGTTAACATAATATTGATTATGCTTTCTGCCACTTATTTGCATACTTCCAAGGAAAGCTTAATAGGAGGACTAATTTGTACTTTTTATGAGCTAAAAAGTAATGTATTAAGCTTTATGTCTAACTGCAAATATTCAGAATTGGAAAACAGAGCACATGATCTATGCAACTGTGTAAAATTTCACAATGAGCCATCTTGCTCTTGCGTTCATGGTTTGTGGAGACTTTCTGTGCAGCTCCATGTTTAATAAAGATGAGTTTTGTTGCCTTCAACATGCCAAATACTTCTGTGAAAATTTAGAAGCTTTTAAGGTGTCATAAATGCTTAGTTTTTGTAAAGCATACTGAATTTTCTCTGTATGAGGTCGTAAGTATGAAAGTTTGCAGAAACTAATGGTTTTCTGTAGCCATTGGAGCAACACATGTTGTTAGTCTCATGAAAGTGTAAGTGCTGAAGCAGCCTCAAATCCTTCATGTGTTGACAGCCTTTAAAGGTCACAGTAGAAAAACATAAATGCTTAAGGTGTTAGTGACTGACACTATATGCATTTGAGTAGGAAACAGTTCTTACTGCCTTTCACTGGCCAGTATACATTTTAATAAATACCAGTGTAGGAGAAGAAGGTAGGTATGGTTATTCTTTTCTGTTGCAAATTGTGATTTGCACTTTTCATTATTTATATAGAACCAGGTGAGCATTTTTTTCCATAGTTAAAAAATATATTGAATCGAGTTGTTTTATGCTTTTTCAGGCATCCTTTGCTAATTTTCACTAGTCGGGGTGTCTGTGTATATATGTATTGTGTGTGTTTGTTTATCTACCTAAGGTGAGACCTTTGACAGTTTAGTAGAGCAAGTTTGTGAGTTCATACAGACTTAGAGGGTCATATTTTTTCAAACATAAGCTTACTGAGGGTGATGGTTGTTTTTGTTCTTGTTTTTATTATAGTCTCACAAACCAGTAATTTGAAAGAGATTAAAATTGGGAGTTGGGAGAGGAAAAAGATTCTCTAAGGGGTTAAGTGTTGTGTGATAGTAGTTCTGACACTACAGTTATTTCCCATTCTAAATATATTCATGCAAGGTAGGCAGTTTTTGATGTGGTAGACAATTATTACAAAGAACTTTAGGTCTTAATTAAAATTTTTTTTGTTCTCCCTCCCTTTTACAGCTTTATGCCATTCCCTGGTTTCTTACTATGTTTACACGTGAGTATAGATTCTTCTTCTCTGATTAAATTTTCTTTTATTTCTTAAGCATAATTTTTCTCACTTTTTCAGCTAAAGCCTTCCTTCTTGGTGAGATCTGTCTCGTATATAAGAGGTCACTTGTAATTGTGCTGTGATTTGAATCTCAGTGGTGCCTGTAACGTACTTTCTGCACTAATTTGTCAATAATTAGCATTTTCTTAGGTTTTTTTTTTAAGTATTATTAAATTTGAACTGGATTATTTTATGTTTGCAGTATTTAAGGAGTGTGCAAAGGAAGCTGTTACCTACTGGAAAAAAGATATAATAAGACTTAAAAAACACACCTCCACCATCTTCTGCTACCCTCACCCAGATAATCTAAGAGGAGTAACTTATTTTAAGGCCCACAAAACAAGCTTGATTTTTTGCACTTTGATACATCGTTACTCTACTAGCACTACATCACTGTACTTGTGCATGGATGTTGAATCGCTTTCTAGGCTTTCTTTATTAACTTTGACCTCTTTTATTTTTTTGACCTCTTTCAAACAGACCTCTTTGACTGTAAAACACTGGTTCTTGCAGTTACCCATTCTTCTAAAATGTTAATGAGAATCACCACCTTTGGAAAACCAAGAAGATGGGTTTTCTTGACTATGAATTGCAATAAAAAGTTAGATCTATTTAGTTGCGGGATAGCTTATTTTAGGAGAGCCACCTTCAGCTTTATGTATAGAATACAACTATTTTTAACAGACCTTCCTCCTTGGCTTTCCTTTCCCAACCATTTTTTTTGTCTACTTTGCTAATTTTCCTGTCTAATTTTAAGAAGTTGAGCTTATAAATTAATTCATTAATGTATACATACTATTAGAAAAACTGATATGCATGTCCTGATGCATAATTGCACTGAACCAAAAGAAAAATACATTGCCTAATTTTGTATATTTGAAATCTGAAAACCTGCATGTTTCTAGCTATTTAATAATGAAAGAAGACACTGAAGTTTTCCAGAATAATCAAACTGCATATGAAGATAAACCTGTTTCTAAACAGGTTGAGTCCTTTTTCCTCCCAAATAAAAAAAGAAATAACCCTAAAATATTAAACAAACAAAAAAAAGTATATAGGCAACTCCTTAAAAGTGTGTATATGTTTTGATCAATTTATATGCTTATAGGGTTTTTATTGTGCTTATTCATCATGCAGATGTCTTTCCTTTGCATAAAATTTTTCACTTGTGGGATACGTTACTGCTTGGAAATTCCTCCTTCCCATTCTGCATTGGAGTTGCAATACTTCAACAACTGAGAGATCGTCTTCTGGCTAATGGATTCAATGAATGCATTCTCCTTTTTTCAGATTTGCCAGGTACAGAAAAACAATTTCTTCCTTCTTTCTCTGTTTTACCCATGTATTGCTGGGGAAAGTATGTGCTTGCATATTAATATATACAACAAATCTTACATGTGTTTTGAAATCATGGTAGATTTAGGCAAACTCACTTGTCAGAGTGTGTAGGTCTTCAATACAGCTTGATCAACTTAGTAGAAGTCTTTTCCCTATCATTAGCAAGAATTGGGTGAGCTTACTATTTCCAGTTTAGTAGATACTATGCAATTCCTACTGTGTTTTTCAATTTATAAGAAACTTAAGTAGGCCATTCCTTATGATGTGGGGTTTTTTTGGTTTTCAGTCTGTATGCTTAGTCATTTCAAGTGTCCTTATTAAATTTAACTGGGTATCTTCAGATGGTCTGAAAGGTGATTGCTAAGCTAAAAGATGGTATCTCTCTCCCCTTCCTTCTCCCCAGTCTATTAACTGTATGTCTTAGTTAAATATAGATTCATTAATATTTAACTTCTTTTTCTTGCCTAAGGTCATTTCCCCCTTTTTTTTCCCCTTGAGTGATTCTAGGTTATATATCCCAATTTGTCTTGAACCAGCTGATTTACTGACAGCTGAAGTGCTTTATACTTTTGTCATGTGTGAGAACACATTAGTACTCATAACACACCTGTTTATATAGTAAAATTAAATCACTAAAATCTGTAGTGCCGTAATGTACATACTTTCCGCTGATTATATTTTCTGACACCTTTGTTTATAGTCTAGTAGGAAACATTTTGATACAACAGTGTGTCTGAAAATATTTGTTAATGTTGGTGATGTGTGCAGTATTTTGTATGTCAACAGTGTCACAATTGAATATTATGAGATTAGTCCAAATCATATAATAAACTCACAATTAGGGGAAGAAATAGTGAGGATGGGAGATGGTCTTAGTGTGACTTAAATGTTACTGGTCTAGCTGAGACTCCTGTAATCTGTAATTTGTTTGAACATAGAATTATCTTAGCCTTGTGCTTTCTTTTTCTATCCTGAGTCGTATTACTCATTAAGAATATTGACTTCCTTTGCTCTTTTGTCACCTATGTTTTCCAAATAGGACTTCTCTTACATTGATTAAAATAAATTGTATGCCATGTTTGAGAAGCTTCTGAAAGTAATTTACAAACAACCTTCACCTAAAACTAGGTTACCCCAAGAAAGAGATTATATTGTTCAAAATATCTGCAATAGTTTCAGTGTCTTAAACTCCAAAACTGTGTTTTTTAAACTTTTTGTGCACTGGAATGGCTTATCTCAGGCTGCCAGTGAAAGTTACTTGCTTTCCAGACTGATAAAGCAATCTCGCAATTTTGTAGAACACATTTTTATGATTTCTTGTTTCTACAGTAGCTATTTAAAAAAAAATTATTTAAAGTTTAAAACAAACAAGAAAAAAAACAACAAAAAAACCCCAGAAACACCTGTACTGCTTTATTTCCAGTTAACTGCATATAACAGAGTTTCAATTGCTGTATAAGAAAGTTAATGATACGAGGAAAAAAAAGGGGCACAGAGCCATCATTGATTACTTGATTTGGAAAACCCTTTCTAGGGCTTGTCTCAAAGCTTTGGCCATGTTTTATCTATAAATGCTATAAAAGTGGGCATTACTTGCCAGTTTTGTGAGCTCTATTTGAATTTTTAACTTGTTTTTATATAGTTTTGAAGATGTTCTACTGTATTTAGAAATCTGTTTTAATTATTTGACAAAATAATTGGTTAATTAAGAATACTGGATAATCCCTTTAATGTAGCGGCAAATATCCTAGTTCATTTCTCATGGGACTGTAGAAAGGGGACATATAAGCAACTGCTAAAACTTAATTAGAACTAGATTGTTTAGGAAAATACTGCCTCAAGGTGGTATGGCTTTTTTTATCATTCTCTTTCATTTTTTCTTTCACACTTTTTTTCCTTGTGTTTAAGGAGCTTTGCTAAGTATAAATTCTATTCAAACATAAAAATACCAGAGAAGATTAAGGAAGTAGTATCTGAGACAGACAAACAAAACCAACCCTGGAGTCATTGTTAATTTTATCTAAGTCTGATGTAGCAGAAGAATGTGGCAGGAAAATGAGGATGGTAAGGGTGGCACTTACATATAATCTGATTCCTGAGGTATCAGTAACAGAGGCAGGACTCTACTTTCAGACCAGTACTGGTTTGTACTGAACAACTTTGGATGTGTCTGGATCTTATGTGTCAGCAAATTGCAACCCAGAAGGCTCTTTCATGCACTAAGAGCATATTATATGAGCAGTGTATTTGAAAACTTGTGATTTTGCCTCTTGCTTAGTCTTTAACATCTTGCCATAACTTTGTCTAAAAAAGTATGTTATGCAACTCAGAAGTTGTTGTTGTTATTATTATTATAATATCTTGATTTGATTACTAAGTTCCTTACCCGCTGTACAAGTAGTACAAAGTTACCAACACATTGTGTTAGGAAACAGACCCAGGAAAGAACCATGTGGGTATGTACAGCTTTTAGTGGAAGGATCCTATAGACTATTTCATTTCCACCTGGAATGGATGCAATATAGGTCCTGGCAAACAGGTCTTCCTCTGGAGATCCGTACCATTATCATCAGTGACATACCAGAGGTTAATGATGGCCTTGAGAAGGGATAGGGCAACAGACAGGAACAGATGCTATTAGAAAGTAGGTAAACACCAATCCTAGATGTGAGTTATAACATACTTATAAATAAGCATTGTTGGTTAGTTCACACAATAACCTCATAATCTGTAATTTTGGAGCAGGAGAAGTGTTTGTTCTTTTAATGCTGTGCACCTTAGGCACTTGTCTTTTTGCTGACTCCAGATTAGTTAGTGCTTCCAAAGGAAGAACCTCGGCCTCAGACTGGAAGGCCAGAAAGACTGGTTGTGGAAAAGCAATCCAGTGCAATGAGGAGCTACAGTAAAACTGTTTAAGTGGAAAATGGAGAGGATTACATTTTGTGAGACACAGACATGTAGCTTTAAGATGCAACATGTAGTTAAAGATCTAGCTATTACCAAACCACAAAAACAATTCTTCAAGAAACAGTTTGTCTAATGTGGGAGAAACTATTTTATCTGGTGCCATAATAGCAATGTGCCGAAATGTTGAATCCCATTATGGTGGAAGCCATCTAAATGCTTAGAAGACTTACATCCAACTCAAGAATAGACTAAAGGTTAAAAAATCATGGAAATTATTTAATAAGATGGTCTGGTGCAGTTTTGAATGATGTGTTTCTGCTGACTGCAGCAGAATTAGATGCACATCAGAGAACTCTACTTTAGATATGTATCTGACACTAGGTAGGTGCTATTTTACCTTCTTTTGTTTTTCTTCCTGAAAATCCTTTGTTTGCACACATCTGTGATTCATACACTTTTATCATCCCAGAATTCTGGTGTTTCACTATTTGGTTAATTAAGATTTGGTAGGAAGAAGAATTGGCAGTTGGTTGCCAAGCCCACACTGAATTTGTGGGTGTTTGGTGATAGAAGGGTGTTCCCATTTGTTTTGCTACTTCTTCAGTGAAAATGTAAACTCTTGAGATCAAAACATGAACTTTGAAAAGACTGGAAGAAGTACAGTGGGGTCTTCTATGTGCATGTGAGCAGTAGAAAAATGTAATATACTGGTTTTGGGGTTGACTTTTTCTCATACAGTTTTGAAAATGTCTTATTGATTAAATTAAGACTCCAAGGAATAGATGTCATAATAGCCCTTTTAAAAGGGAGCTGTTTTGATAACTTCAGCTATGAAATAATCACAGGTGGCTTTGTTGTAGCTTGGCCAAGTTCAAAACTGTTGTCTCTCATGGAAAATCACGCTGCAAGGTACTTATCATGGAGTTAGCGAAGCTGGACGGTGTTTTCAAATTGCAGTATATCTGAAGAAAAACACCAAGTTGATCTCTGTCACATGATCTGCATGATAATGGTGCTATAACATTAAAAAATTGGATTGGAAATATCAAAGACATCAGAACCAAAAAAAAATAATATTTCTAGTTTTCTTGAAAGATGTAGGTCCAGTGGCCATTTATATGCTAAACATATTTGCAATCTTTGCTATGTTAGATGGCTTTTTTAGATGCAAGTAGCAAGTGTATTTTATAATGCAGTTAGTGAAGATCATAATTGCTAAATTATGGCACGTATGAAGCAGAAATGGTGCCTAGCTGCTCCTAAGTGGGGTTTGGTTTGGTTTGCCTTTTTTTTTTTTTTCCTTCTTTTAATGGCTTAAAGCCATCTGTAGGTTGGAAGCTGGCTTTGCTAAAGAAGCAGAGCAATTTGTTAGGGCACACCTGCTCACCAAGGCTGTTTGGTACTGTCAAACACTTTATGATTAATGTTATTTTACCTGAAGCTGTGAATTCTTTAATGATTTGTATTTTCCACTTTTGGTGACATGAACAAAATGCTGTTCTATTTATAGATTCAACCTTCTTGACACTAAAGAGAAATGCACTGGTAGGTGACACTAAGGAAAAAAAATACCAAAATCTTTTATTCATATTAGTATTCTTGCTAGTCTGTTGTTGTCACTCATGGAAAATTAAATATGTATCTTTTTAGCAAGGGATTGTCTGTCTTGAGAGATTGCATTTCATAAAAAGGGTGAAAATTGAGTTTATCAGTAGAACTTTCCCAGTGCATGTCTTAAAATCAGTCTGAAAGCACAGTTTATGGCTCCTGTTTCTTGATAGAACCAGTGTCTACTCTTCATAGCAAAAAGGGATTTCAAGGAATAGAATAATCCACCTGTTAGTCATGTAGGGTTTTGTACACCTTTACACTAGAGTAAAATGAAAGTTCAGTAAAGTAGACTATCAAACATATTAGCATTTCTAGGCATGGAAAGACAAAATTCAGGCCACTCAGAGCTTTGCTCCAAACTGTAGTGAAATTTCTTTTTTTTTTATATTATTATTTCTTTTATTTTTCCCTTGGGAAATATTTCATAGAGTTGTAGAATAGTT